GTAGCTAGCTATACTATCTGCTCAGATTCAGCAAAATGCTACAAAACCAATTGGGCGGCGCTTCACAGTGCAGATGGATAATGACCCAAAAGATACTGTGAACACAACCCAAGAGCTTCTCAAGGCAAAGGAATGGAATATTCTTCAATGGCCAAGTCAGTCACCTGATCTCAACCCAAGTGAGCAGGCTTTTCACTTACTAAAGATAAAACTAATGGCAGAAAGACCCACAAACAAGCAGCAGCTGAAGGAGGCTGCAGTAAAAGGCCTGGCAAAGCATCTCAAGGGAGGGAACTCAGCGTTTGGTGATGTCTATGGGTGCCAGTCATTGACTGCAAAGGATTTTCCTCCAAGTATTAAAAATAATGATTATATTCACAGTGATGTTAGTTTGTCCAATTACTGTTCAGCCTCTGAAAATGAGGGGGGCTGTGTAAAAATGGCTGTTATATCCATTGAATTAAAGCTGAAAGTACACTTCAACCACATATTGACTGCTTCCATTGGAGTCGTGTAAAGAGGCAAAATTAGAATAATTGTGTCACAGTCCAAATACTTATGGCCCTGACTGCAGGGGCGTTTGTAGGATTCAAAGAAAAGGGTGGCTTATCCCCAAGGGGAGTGGCATGTTTGCGATTTTTTTTGGGGCCCATTTGGGGCCGCGGATATCCATTGTTTCAGACAGTTCATAGATTGGTTCAATCAGAAAGAGTGTGATCCTGCTCTGTAGTGTTGCTTGCATTCAGTATATGATAACACAAGAGACAGAATTTGAGGGTCGTAGTGAAATTTGACAACACAAATATGAACTTTTCTCAAATAAAGAATATCCGCGTCACTCCTAAATCCTAATTCTTAAAGGGACCGCACACAATGGATGGAGAATGGACCTGACAGTGTCAACTTTATATCGTTAAGTATGATGATAGGCTATTGGATTGTAATTTGAAGGGGGAGAAAACATACAAACCAGAACGCACGCACATATGTAGCATGTTAGAGTTATAAATAACTTGTCCATGTGAGAAACAATAGTTTAATTTAATGACATCACCAAAATAAAAATATATTTTTTTTCTTTTTTTTTTTTAAAGCCAATAATGCCAAATTATTTGGGGGGCTGAAGAACATTTGAGGGGGGCTTCAGCCCCCCTAAAATAGGCCTAACGACGCCCCTGCCTGACTGTATTACTTGCCTGCAAATGAAAAAGCCCATAGATGACATAAACTATGAGACAGTTACTCGTTGACTGAACATGTGACACTGCGTGTTTCTACTGTCTCAGAATGAAGGGGTGGGATATAAATGTTAGGTCTGTCACAGCACAACTGACTCTCGTGCACTCAATGCTGTCTGAGGTTTCATCCTGTGTCGTATAGTCTTATTGTCTTGTTCTCTCTTTGTACATCTAGGGAAACAGATATTTATAATGACCCCAGAAGAGAGAGCTGTTTCCAATTTGAATGCCACATTTGTTCGCCCTGCCAAATTCTATCTCAGTGGGTTTTCCAACGTCCCTCACGTTAAGTATTACTATGTCTTCCTGTGTTTTGCCTATATCATCACTGTTCTTGGGAATAGCTTCCTTCTCTCAACTATTTACCAAGTTAAGACTCTTCATACTCCTAAATATATGATTGTCTTTAACCTGGCTTTCACAGATTTGTGTGGGAGCACTGCTCTCATCCCAAAAGTCCTCGACACACTTGTGTTTGACAGGAGATACATTGTCTATGAGGCTTGCTTGAGTCATATGTTCTTTGTTCTTGTCTTTGTAAGTATTCAGTCATGGACACTTGTCACAATGGCATTTGACAGATTTATAGCAATTTGCTTCCCTTTAAGATACCATAGTATTGTGACTAAAACAGTTATTACTGCAATGCTGCTGTTTGTGTGGGCTTTTTTTATTACTCTCCTAGCGTTGGATATTTGGTCTATTGTTCGCCTCTCCTTCTGTCGATCTTTGGTGGTAAAGAGCATTTACTGTGATTATGCACCAGTTTTTCTTCTGGCCTGTAATGACACGTCTTTAAATAGGATGTTGGCTTATGTTGCTTTTGTTGTAGTCCTCTGTATTCCTTTAGTACTGATAACATTGACATATGTTTGCATTTCCGTAGCACTGAGCAGGATTGCAACAGGAGAGGAACGACTCAAAGCATTTAAAACTTGTACTTCTCACCTGATTCTTGTGGCTATTTTCTTCCTACCAATCGCGGGCACCAACATAGCGTCAGTAACCACCTACATCCATCCTAATACCAGGATCATAAACTCATCTTTGACACACATCGTACCAGCTTTGCTCAATCCTATTATATACTCTTTAAAAACAGAAGAAGTGCTGATCTCTATCAAGAAGCTTTGCAAAAGAAATAGGATAACAAACACAACCAAAAAAGGGTGACGTCTTTATCAATGCTGTAATGAGAAACATTTAGGAGTGTTACAATAGCATAATTGTATTCATGACCTTTTACTACTTATACGCACTATTATTTCACTTTTAGAAATGGTTATGGAGTGGTAATTCATCATTTACTGTACTTTGCAATGTAACCAGACCAAATGAGGTGGTTGCATTTTATATTACTTCAGCAATACTAACGATCGCCCATCCAAAATGTAATCAGGGTTTTTAGTATGTTATGAATTGTTGTTGTGACTGTACACTGCTTATTAGAACAATTATTTGAGACAGAAATACAGTAAATCATTTTGTTGTATCTGTTGGTAATAAGTGGAAATTACACATACTTTCGGTGGAGCTCTCATACAGAGTCAGTTTTGAGTCTTATCTTGAGTCTGATCTGTTACAGTGATAAGTCGATTAATCAACTAGTCGATCGAAGGCAGTTAAATGGCAACGGCAACTATTTTCATAATCAATTCATTGTTTCATTTGTTGCTATTTTTCAAACAAACATGCCACATATTTGACAGGATTGATAGCACATTGACACATTACTTTGGAAATGTCAGACATTGTTTACTTATTTGAAGAGTGCATTTGAATGTTTCTCTCAAGCCTTTGAGGAGTGTGACTGGGTTGCTCAAATGATGTACTGAGTGTATTATATTGAAAATCCTAAAATAAAGATATAAAAAAATCCATGCTGTGAATTGTAAAAAGCAACCACATCCATATGTGGACAGATTTTGAAAGGTTAAGTTTAGTAAAAATAATGACTGATAAGTTGATATGATGTAAACGCCTTTACAAAAAGAGGCAATCAAGACTCACAAGCTGAAGATGAAGCACGCAGGACTTTTATGGTGTGTTTGCACCATCTGTAAACTATAACTTTTCCTCCTGTCATACTTTATGTGCCTTGCTACTTTTACATTACAGTATAATCCAACACTGAATGTTTTACAGGGCATCTTGTTAATTTCTCTACGATTTTGAATCAGATTCCTGCTGGAACGTTCGCTGTGTGAAGTTTTTGTTGAGAAAGTTTTACTGAGGTTATTATTCACTGTAGAAATGTTGCTAAAATTCTAACCTCTGCGTAGTTGACACACACAGTGAGTCCCCGGCTGCAGTGATGCTGTGACGACGGCGACAGGGCACATGCGGATGATCTGGAAAAATGGACTTGAAGCGTAAATAAATGCTTCAGGTCAGGGATACGCCTGTGAAACGCGAGCGTGCACAGAGCCGGAGCCGACAGCAGCATAGATTTAAACGAGAACGTACAGTCAGGGCCATAAGTATTTGGACTGTGACACAATTATTCTAATTTTGCCTCTTTACGCGACTCCAATGGATTTGAAATTAGGCAGTCAATATGTGGTTGAAGTGGAGACTTTCAGCTTTAACTCAATGGATATAACGAAAATATCACATTAACGTTCTAGGAATTACAGGCATTTTTACACAGCCGCCCACATTTTCAGAGGCTCAAAAGTAATTGGACAATTGTAGCTGGTCCATGGAACTCTAAGCATGCGGACCAAAAAGGTGTCAATGCAAGTGAAGGAGGCCATTATTAGGCTGAAAACACTTAACAAACCTATCATTAAGATAGCAGAAAGATTAAGATTGGCCAATTAAACAGTTTGGTATATGCAGGAATGCACTGGCAAGCTCACCAACACCAAAAGGCCCAGAAAACCACAGAAGACATCTAAAGTGGATGATCGCAGAACTCTTTCCGTGGTGAAGAAAAACCCCCTCATAACATCTACTGGAGTCCAGAACACTCTGGAGGTAGGCGCGTCATTGTTAAAGTCTACAATCAATAGACGCCTTCAAGAATCTAAATACAGAAGATTTACAACAAGGTGCAAACCACTGATAACACTGAAGAACAGGAAGGCCCGATTAGACTTTGCCAGAAAACATCTGAAAGGGACTGACCAGTTTTGGAAAAAGATTCTTTGGACAGACGAAACCAAGATGAACTTGTACCAGAATGATGGGAAGAGAAAAGTGTGGAGAAGGAAAGGAACGGCTCATGATCAAACCCCATCTTCTGTCTAACATGGTGGAGGCAGTATTTTGGATGGGCATGTATGGCTGCCAATGGAACTGGGTCACTGGTGTTTATTGATGATGTCACAGCTGATCGAAGTAGCAGTAGTAGTAGCTAGCTATACTATCTGCTCAGATTCAGCAAAATGCTACAAAACCAATTGGGCGGCGCTTCACAGTGCAGATGGATAATGACCCAAAAGATACTGTGAACACAACCCAAGAGCTTCTCAAGGCAAAGGAATGGAATATTCTTCAATGGCCAAGTCAGTCACCTGATCTCAACCCAAGTGAGCAGGCTTTTCACTTACTAAAGATAAAACTAATGGCAGAAAGACCCACAAACAAGCAGCAGCTGAAGGAGGCTGCAGTAAAAGGCCTGGCAAAGCATCTCAAGGGAGGGAACTCAGCGTTTGGTGATGTCTATGGGTGCCAGTCATTGACTGCAAAGGATTTTCCTCCAAGTATTAAAAATAATGATTATATTCACAGTGATGTTAGTTTGTCCAATTACTGTTCAGCCTCTGAAAATGAGGGGGGCTGTGTAAAAATGGCTGTTATATCCATTGAATTAAAGCTGAAAGTACACTTCAACCACATATTGACTGCTTCCATTGGAGTCGTGTAAAGAGGCAAAATTAGAATAATTGTGTCACAGTCCAAATACTTATGGCCCTGACTG